GTTATTATAAATTTTTCATAATTTTGAAAAATATGTGGCAACTCTCTTTTGAGTTTATAGTTCTTTTCCTTCTCTCTCAAAGACTTTTTTAACAATAAAAACTCCTACTCTTCCAAATTCTCTCCTACTTTATGTTTCTTCCTACCCTCAAAGACTTTCACTCCCACTCTCTAACTATCCACAACTCCTATCCATAAAAAGCTGTCAATAAAAAAAAAAAAAAACCTATCCATAAAAAGTTGTTACTCTCCCACCTCAAACAAATCTCTCATACCCTTAAACACTTTCATTCATACTCTCTCACTATCCTACAAGTATAGATATATATATATTAATAAAAAAAAAAAAAAACCACCCATCTATTCATATCTCCTTAAACCATTGCTTCTCAAACAATCCACTACTACAAATACATATACTTCATCAACTTTCTCTTTTGCTTTAATAATTTATTTTTTGTTCCAAGCATTTGAGATTTTTTGTTTTGACTACAAAGATTGCAAAAAATTGTAATGTCCATGTTTCTGTTTTTTTTTTTTTTTTCTTTTGCTCTAATAATTTGTATCTTTCCTACGTGGCAACCTTCTTTGATCGCCTTTCATGTTTTCTATTTTCTTCATTTTTTATTTGTTTGATTAATTAAAATTAAAAATATTTCATTACTTATGGATAAATATTTGAATTTCAAAATTCTTCCGTATAGATAAACATATAAATTCAAAATTAATTTTATAATCTACAGATAAAGATAAAACTAAACAATTAATTTAAAAAAAATTAATTTCATAACTTATAGATAATATTTAAATTTCTTCCCATAAATAAACAAATAAAGTTGATAAATAACTTATAAAAATTAATTTCATGGCCTACAAATAAAGATACAGATTAAATAATTAATTTTTTTTTTAAAAAAAACAAAATTACTCTCTTTTTTTCCCCCTCATTTCGTACTTTAATTAATTTCATTATAGATAAACATATAAAAATTCATAAATAATTTATGAAAATTTATTTCATGACCCATAGATAAAGATAAAATTTTAAAAATTATTTAAAAATAATATTTCATGACTTATAGATAAATAAACATATAAAAATTGATAAATAATTTATAAAGATTAATTTCGTGCGCTACAAATAAAGATAAAGATTAAATAATTGATTTTCAAAAAATTAAAATAATAAAATTTAGATAAAGATATGATTTGTTAATCTATATATCTATGAAAAACATATATATCTAAATCTTATTTTTGATTTACTCTTTTTTTTTCTCCTATCACATATTATCT